TGAATTTCGTAATTTTCCCCGCCAAACAGCGTATTTATCCCCCGTTGAACCTGGGCACACCCGTCCCTGCTTTTAGTGAGACCACACCTTGAGACGCCTCTAAATCCGGTAGTGCATTTCAAACCCGAATCAACAGTTCCCCACGACCAGCTGGTCCAGTGCATCCAAAACACCATTTATTTCCCGAAGTGCGCAGGAAAAGCGTGGGGATTTCTCCCCACCTTGACCCATTTGCGGATACACAGAACACTTTCCGATTTGGCAGAAGTCATGTTCTGAGCCACCTGATGATGCGGAGCCCAGAAACGGATAGTGAGCACTCGGAATCGGGGTCCTCCACGGACAGTCAGTCAAGTGGACTGGGAGGAGTGCACCATAAGCGACGGAGCACCAAGCGTCCGGATGTTTTCAGTCTGAAAGCCATGGCGCCCAGGTGAGTAATGTTGAAAGGAGAGTCCAAAGTTCCGCCTTATCTGTATGGCTCGTAAATCTTATCTGACCCTTTTCAAGACCCAATGCCGGACCCGGCGGCTGGTTATGTCTGCTACTGCCGCTGGCCTTGGGCGTCCGCCTGTTGCATGATCCGCCGAAATGCAGGGATCAGGCCAGGATGCAGTGGATCCTCACCGTGTCCGCTGGCGGCATGGCCCTGGAAACCCTCTGCTTCTTCATCTACGCCTTCGTTAAGACGGGTATTTTGGTTAAGTGTCTGGTGAGCCTGCTGCCTGGAGTGGCCACCAGTTTGGCCTTCTATCTCCTTGTGGACACCACTATCACCTTCGCCGTAATCGTGGGATTCCTGATGACCTCCTCGTATCAGCAAATCTATATTTACACTCTGCGAGGCTTTAAGGGATCCTTCACCTACGGAGAGGCCTCGGTTTTCGTCCAGGGACTGGTACTCTTCGCTACAAGTGCCATTCACCAACTTGGCGGTTTTTTGTGCGGCGGCTCCTGGCCAACTGATGAATTTGAGACCCTCAACATGATTATGGTGGTGGGTATAGAAGAGATCTGATATTTCTGACTTCATCCGAAATATGGTGTTTTCCCATACATGTTTTCCAAATCTTCATATCAAAACATTTAAAAAATTCTTTCCGCTTCAGTTCTTTTTATACAGCACAATTAAATTAATTTATTTTACTTTAAGTTAAACGCAAAGAATGTGAATTAATCACATTAATATTCATCCCCAGAATGCTCTATTTTGGCTGCTGGTGTTCTGCCTGGCTCTCGTCTTGTTTCCATCCCTGAGAAAACCATACCGCTTCTACCTGTGGATGCTGCAGCTCCTGTTGGCTGTCACCTGTATGCCCGTGACGCGGCCCCTGCCTCTGTTGGCCCTAATCCAGTTCCTCCTTCGGGATCGCGATCGCCTCAGCATCTTGGTTTTCTATCTGCTGCTGGTTGTGTTAACCTGCATTACAGTAGCCTGGCAAATTGGCAGCGCCTCCAAGGCCAACACGCGAGTACGGAAGATTTTCCATCTGCTAATAGTGCTGGTATATATCCCTGGAGTGGTGTTTGAATGCGCCTTGCTGTACTTGGCCACTGGAGTGGCATTAGCTGCTTTTGTGGTGCTAGAAATTCTGCGCCTCCTAAAGGTTCCTCCGTTTGCTGACAGCCTGGCGGATGCTTTCCGTTCATTCAAAGATGAAAAGGACGCCGGAGAATTGGCCTTGACTCCGTTCTGCCTGCTCATTGGATGCTCGATGCCCATTTGGATGACCGAGTGTCCCTGTTCCGGAAGCGATACGTTGGCCCTGCTCTCGGGAATACTGGCAGTTGGGGTAGGAGACACTGCAGCCAGTGTAGTGGGCTCCAAACTTGGCCGCAATAAGTGGGGAAGTAAGTTCAGATACACATTTTACAGAACATACTAAAAGTTGTTTATAACTCAAGAATGCATAGTTTAAATATGGGTTTCAATGTAGCAATTTTATGTCATCAAATTTATAACCAATTTTTGTAGAACTTATTCTTTTAATTACTACAAAAATTGCTAAATCGAAATCTTTATACAAGTTCCCAGACCAATTTCCATTTATTTTAATGTTTATTCTTTCTAGAATCCTCCCGCTCCTTGGAGGGCACCGCAGCCTTTGTGGTGTCCATCCTTTTAGCCGTGTGGCTCTTAGAGATTGCTGGCTTGATCATTATGACCCAAGCCAAATGGTTCGCTACCATTTTCGCGGCATTGAACTCCGCTTTGGTGGAGGCCTTTACCGACCAGGTGGACAACCTGGTGCTCCCCCTGATATTCTATACAATTGTAGGCATGGCCTAATCAACCTGATGTAAATAAGTTATGATGATCGCATTCCTCGGTGTATTTATGTGTAAAATTCTTCGGTGTAGTTAAGCTTAGAGTTAGACTACTGGTTCAATTTCAACCAATAATCATATTTAAATAAACAGTTTTAAAAACTCGATGTTTATTCTAATCCACTTTGATCTACTTTAACTTGGGTAGTAAAATTAAATCATATACGAAGTTAAGTCTACGTGTGCATCAAACTTCAAAATACGAATTTTATAAGCTGATGTTGAAGTTAGAATGTTTATTCATTGATACACCTGATTTTCCAACATTTTCGCCAACAATAGGTCAGATGGCTTATTCACAAAATCATTTGGCCAATATTTTACCTGCTAGTAGTATAAAATCACAGTTAGAATATTCATGCTCTACTAGTCTACTTACAAGTCAGAGTTTTCGATTCCTAATAAGGATGATCTCCAGATGAATGCTTATAAGCAGGTATAATGGTAAATTTGAATTTCATTCAAAACGCTGTTAAGCAGTGCTATTAAGCTAACATTAGCGATGCCGACCACTGTTTATCTAACATGAATGATTTTAGCAGAATGTTAGCCAGCACGTGGGTACACTGTTAGGAGAAAAATAGCACAAAAACCATGAAAATAACCGCTTTAACGGCACAAAAACACAATTCCACTTGGTTTATATAAAGTGCAAACACTGCAGATTTTTATTACGTAGAAATGGTCAACGGATGGCTAGACAATTGAGTGTAGACCGCGGCCATGTGGAAGAATGGCCGGTGCTCCAGGACGCCGCTTCCTCGCCTCGCAAGTGTTTTGCACAGAATATTCGCCCATCTAGCCGCTTATTCGAAGAGAGCGAAGCCCATGTCGTCGTCCTCGGACTCGGACTCCTCCTTCTTCTCCTCCTTTTTGGCCTCCTTCTTGTCGCCACCGGCGGCGGCAGCGGGGGCGGCATCAGCAGCGGCGACGGCGCCACCGCCGCCCACCGGCATCGAGGAGAGCTTCTCGCGACCCTCCTTGATCAGCTCCTCGATGCTCTTGCCAGCCAGCTCCTTGATGACCTTGGTCAGGCGCTCAGCGTCGACCTCGATGCCCACGGAGCTGAGGATCTTCTCCAGATCGCCGTTGGCGGGCGAGTCCTTGCCACCGAGCACGGCCAGAAGGTAAGCAGCCACGTAACGCATGTTTAAGTCTTGGGTTCTTGACACGAAACGTGAATTGGCAAAAAGTACGAAAAACACAACTTTCCTTAGCAAGTCGTCGTCGGAAAAGAGCGGAAGTCGGCGTGACCTAGGGATGTGAAAAATATATAAAAATATGATATATCGATATTTTTGAATTCAAATAAATATTTATATCGTTATATTTTTTTATACATTTCCCAGCGGTTGGCGGATGGTCACACCAGCTAAATTTGCTCAACAGAAATGTTATGTATCAAAATCTAACAGCACTGTTAAGATGAATCATAATCTAAAAGAAATGTTAATCTTAACATTTCTGTTGCTCCTTTCAACAGAAATGTTAGAAAACGTTGCATCTTAACATTGCTGTTAATGGAAATGACTGCGCTGCGAAAGTCGCCACTGAAACGCGTTGAAAACGCTCGAAAAAGACAGACCGAGTTGTTTTTATTTCTCAGTGGTTGGCGGATGATAATTTTGAATTTTTCTAATTGTATATATATGTATATAAAACTGTACATTTCAGAACGAAAGTTCCACTCCTAGATTTTTTTGTCTTAAAGTAACATACGTGTTCAATAGTTTTAAATTTGAGTATTATAACTAATTTTCCTTTTTGCCACGCCCACTCTAACGCCCAAAAACCGCCTAGGCCTGCGGCGCCCACAATTTTCATGCTAGAAAAAAATGTTAACTGAAATGTATTAGTCTCGTCATTATTTATCGATTGACCCCAAAAAAAGTTTGCCACGCCCACACTAACGCCCATAACGTCTAAATCTGTCTACCGCCCACATAATCATATATTGAGATCGCGGATAGGTGGCGCAATTCAGTCTCGCTTTGCTGCTTGCGTATCTCCATTTCCCTTTGGTCCCTTTAGCTGAGTAACGGGTATCTGACAGTCGAGGTACTCGACCATAGCGTTTTCCCTTGCTATACCCTTGCAGAGGGTATAATGATTTCAGTCAGAAGTTTGCAACGCAGTGAAGGAGACGTTTCTGACCCCATAAAGTATAAGACGAGTTGATCTAGCCATGTCCGTCTGTCCGTCCGTTTCTAAGCAAACTAGTCTCTCAGTTTTAAAGCTATCGGGCTGAAACTTTCCCAAAAGACTTCTTTCTTTTGCCGGTAGTATATAAGTCGGAACCAGCCGGATCGGACAACTATATCTTATAGCTCGCATAGGAATAATCCTACGCTTGGAAATATGGTTTTTTAATTAGTTCTGAATTTCGAATTTAATTTTATCAAATTCGGACGACTATATCATATAGATGCCATAAAAACGATCGGAAAATTGGTGCGAAAATATTATGAAACAAATAATAGCTTCGGTGTTTCTTGACATATTATCCTATACTATTGGAAATATTTTTTTTGTATTCTTACTTCCTTTCTTGTTTTAACTCAGTTCCTGGGATTTTCCGGTAAAACTTGGTGTTTTGTAGCGGCGCCTTAAAAAGTGGAACACTACGAGAAATTGCTGTGCACTCGTTATATTTTTTATTTATTCTTTGATTGCTATAAACTAAAAGACCCTAGGCCTTATCATCATTTCATCCCCAATGAATTCCATTCAATTTAGGAGCAATGCCATTCTTACTGTAAACTCCATTTGGCGAACTGAAATTAAGTAGTTTGTATTAATATTTTTCATATGGGATTACGTTTAGTTAGGTTACCTATATCCACATTCGGCGAACCACCAGCCACCACCGTGCGTTTGGGCGCAACTTCTAGAAACGAGGTCGTTATCCTGGTCGAGAGTGGAGAACTTCTTTTTCGTGTTCCAATACAGAGAGTCCACGGCTGTACCTTCAAAAGATCCCAAACTTACTAGCTCATACAATGATGCCTCATCGCCGATTTTGAAATCAGCGTAATGGGCATAGGTTGTAGTTCCATTAGCGAAGACAAGTGTAATGTTGAGTTCAAAAGGTCGTTGTTCTGTCATCAGGTGTAGTTTTTCCAGCCCGATGAAGAACTCTGTGCGTATATCTCCAAATCCGTTCTTATAACTCTCCGAGTCGCGTGTGAAGTTTACAGATCCATCGATACGCCTTTCGATCGTCATCCAACCTTGCTTATTGCAGGCAGCCTCGAAGTTCCTTAGTCCGGGAATTTTCACTTTGTAAATGCCACTTTGGCTGTCAGTGGGGCATCGGTCGGTTCTATTACAGATCAGAAGTTGATCGGTAATTTCGGATTGCTTTTCAGAAATCGTTCTGATTTGATTTTCCAAGCTCTTGATTATTTTATCCTTCTTCTCGAGCTCCTCATTTTTATCGCTTATGATTTTATCGTTTTCCTTTATGTTCTCCAAAATATCCTTATCCTTTTGTATTTAGCAGATGGGAAAGGCTATCGATAACCGATACGAGGTACTCAGTGGTGACTTCTTCTATAACAATTCCTGCCACTGGATCCCTACTGCAAAAAGTCAGCTCGATTAAGAGCCAGAAACAGAGGGAAATCTAGCTAAAATTCCAAATAATCTATATTTTTATATACTAAATTAACAAGCTCGGCTGTTTCCATGCCAGAAAATTCCCAACTGGGCCCAAAGTCTCGTACACCTAGACTTCAAAGACATACTCTGAAAAGTTGGGACTTTCCATAAAACGTGTATTCCGTAAATTCTTCAACATATTTCCACGCTAGCTTGAAGTCACCGTTAAGAAGTGACATTTTTAAAATACATTGTTTTTATTTTGCTTATAAATAACCAGGCTACAGTGACGTATCTGTGAATATAATTAATAACTTTGTCAATTTTAAAGATAGATTAACTATAAAAACAATTCACTAACTATATTTTATGGGTCGCATAACTATGAAAATAGATATTTAACTAAAATCTATGGGTTGGGACCATTCTACCCTTTTTCATAGTTACTTAACTATTTTTTATAGTAACACCTTCGTTCGCGTATACGCAAATTAACTATTTGATGGGTACAAATGACAATTCGATGGTTGGGGACCGTCAATTCTACCAATCGATTTTTTTCGCACCACATTGGCGGCGCCTGGTGCACAGCTCTATGTCCTTTGGTCCTTTTCATACGGGGCATGTGTTTGGCTCAAAGTCATCGCACGAATTTGTTTGCAATGATCACTAATTTTCAGGCGGACATTAAAGCATACAAAAGCGAACGCCTGTAGAACAACCCATACTAGTTCTATATTCTTAAAAAGAAGGTCCGACTGGGTAACTTTAACACTGTGATGCAACAAAAAATTACTAGTTAACGCACAATTTTCAAATGTGTTCAGGAAAATGTTTCCCTACACAAGGATTTTTTGGTTATTATTGTCCAACTTTTTTATTAAATTCGTGAGTTTGAAATGTAAACAAAAAGAAATACCCAAAGTCGAAGAAACCTCGAACTGAAAATAAAACAGCCTTTGAAAGGATACAAAGATATCTTAATCTAGTATACTAAAATTCCCCTTATAACCCCAAATTTTTCCCAAGAAAATTTACAAATATATAAATTTATGCTGTATATATAATTGCATATATAAATGGTTGTTGTTGTACAAAATTTTGAAATTGTATAGTGCATTCCTGAACTTTGTGTATCACATTTCGATTTGGAGGACTTACGCCCTCGAGAATCGTTTCACATTTAGCGGTTATCAGTTGATCGGCAGTACTATTTATACGACGCGACATGTTTTTTACACTTAGCTTACGACTACAAACATATTAAGGTATTCTTTTTCCCGAATCCGGATCCGGACACAATAACTGGACTGTCGCGAAAAAATAAACAAAATGCTTCACTACACTTAAAGGAACATTGTAACAAGAACGAAGCGAGGCCGTGATGGTCAGTCCACTTCCTTTTTCTTTCTGGGAAATGTTTTAAGGCTATAGTGGCTCCTGCTGGAAGTACTCGTGCTCCAGGCAAGCCAGGGCGGATGGCCGCAGATGGAGGTCGTAGGATAACATTTGCTGGAAAAGAGAGGAACAATTAGACTTGGGCATGCAGGCAATTAGTCGTTAGTCTAAACTCCCTCGTTCTGCTTAAAAGCTTTACAGATAATAATTGTTTCTATATATTTTTGTCAAGATTTGAGTATTTTATCTCCTCGAGTGTCAACCAAGCCAACAAACTTGTAACTTGATTAAAACATATTTATATATGATTTTGCAACGATATTCCGATTAGATAGATTATTTTGGATAATTTCTCAAGACAATACCTACTAGTACGGACAAAAAGTGTTTTTCTGGTATTTTTTTGGTATATTTTAAAGTTGGTTAATAAAAACCATCTTACAAATCGACGGAAAAAAACTGTCGCGTTCGACATGATGCGTGCAAAAGTCAATTAAAATTTTATTTTAGAAAACCTACGTAATGTTTTTGAACCAAGCCAAAAACATTTTTAAGGAAAATGATTGGGAAACAAATATTCCTTCATGTTTCCCAGAAAGCGAAAGGTTAGCTGGTATTCAAATAAAACACTAATATTTTTGTAGCGTGCGATAGGATTTTTGTATATATCTTTTATATACCCTACAACAAAATATAGTGCTAGTCAAGAGTTTAAATTTAATCCATATGTCAAAGAAAACTAAATTTGGGAACATGGTTTTTCAGCTTTAATGCGTAGAGAATAACCCATATACAAATTTCAAGAAGAGTTATTTGGAAAATAATAAAATTATTTGTTTTAAACTTAAGCTCGGACGATAACATATTGGGAAAGACATATCTTGATATGAACGTGAGATCTAAGGTTTATCAAATTTGATTTTCTCTGTTTTATACTCACATTCAATAAATCATCGGCGTACTCGCACAAAAGTGGACAAAAGTCTTTTGGTCTCTTTGGATGCCGCTGTGGAAAATGTTCCAGTGCCACAGAGATAGTTTGCGGCCATTGTTGCTCGGTGGGTCGACCAGTAAGTCTAAAAAAAGAAAACATGTTTTAAAACAATTATAACATTCACTTTCCTTGAAAGACCACCCACTCGAAGATGCGGTCCAGCTGGTTCTTCTCAGAGGTCCCCGGAAACAGAGCCCTGCGGTTGAACATCTCGAAGATAATGCAGGCAGCACTCCAGATGTCCACGGTGCTATTATAGGGCTGGGCAAGCAGGACTTCGGGGGCCCGATACCAGAGGGTTACCACCACCGAGGTGAGCTTCATTTCCGATCCGTAGGTCTTGGCCAGGCCGAAGTCAGCGATCTTGAGGTGGCCCTGCGAGGAGACCAGCAGGTTCTGGGGCTTCAAGTCCCGATGGATGATGCGATGAGAGTGCAGAAAGTCCACACCAGTAAGCAGTTCCCTTGACAGGCGCTATAAGGAAAGCATATTTAAAGATCAGTTACGGATATCAGTCCCAGTGGAATTTCAGGACCCACCTGAATTGTGGAGGGCGACATGCCCGACTTGGGCAGTCTGTCGATGAGATCCGAAAGATCCTGCTCCAGGTGCTCGAAGACCAGGAGAATCAGCAGTTGGCCATCGCGCTCTAGAAACTGGCATACTTCGAACAGTCTGCAGGTGTAGGGGTAAGCAAATATGTATATTTAAAAATTGTGTGGTTTCGCTGTGCGAAGGAGATGGCCATATGGAAATGTTGAGAGATATAGAAAAAGTGTTATAAAATGCTGCTGGCCTCACCAGCGCCAACGGCCATACTGTGTTCGTTTTGCGTACTAGGCAAAGCACTCGAGACGAACACACGCGCACATTTACGATATGGCGATCAAAGAGCCAAAAGAGAGTGGCAAATTAAAGAGCCCAAATATCGTTTTTAGCAAGAGATCGTTCGATTCTCGCAAGCAGGAAAATAAATAACATAATGTTAGCAAACATTTGAGGCCGTTATTTTAACAGCAATTTTGATTTGATCAAAAATATACTCAAAATTTATGTTTAAAATCTTTAGCGGTTCCTGGTTATTTATAATTTCACACATTGGACTTATATTTTTAAAGCATTTATAAATTGTCTTTTTCTGCAAGTTTTGCCATCCCGCAAGTCTTTCCCCTCCAACCCATAAAAATACTTTTAGTTTCAAACAAAATAACAGCCGCAACTTGGACGCTATCTGCAACTTAACATTCTGTTGTGCGAGCTCGCTCTCGCTCTTCAGGCCGTACGATCTGGCACTCTCCCGCTGTTAGATCGCAATATCGTAGCTGAGCGAGGGAGAGCAGAGTGAGAGCGAGAGCGGAGTTATCGATATCAGCTGCCGACGACGGGGTGCTATCGAACCTGTTAGCCCCGCGCCGCGCTCTGTTAATTCAAATTGCCAACGGCTGCCGCATATTACTTAATGCCAATACAAAATCGGCGGATCTGCGACTGCAGTGACGGCGGCGTTATCAGCGGGAGCACAGTGGCGCCGCTCCAGAGTTACTTGACTGGCATATGCCAGAAGCGTGGGCGAGGGCGGGGGCTAGGGGGCAGGGGGGCCAAATACCCCTTCTCAACCTGCAAATCGGCGAAATATTGCGGCTATAGCGTGCAAAGATAAACAGAAGCGTTGTGACATTGCAGGGAGGTTTTTAAATTACTTTGCAAATAGTTGGGGCGCCACTCGGCCTCAATAGCGGGTGATAACACACAGCAAACACCCCCCATTTATAGCTACTTATACGCGATTTTAATGCCTGCTGGTTGTAAAAACGCCATTACATAGCCCAAGATTTGTGGAGTTATTTTTTAAACTCCATAAAAGCGTAGTACCCACATTACTATATACTCACTTGACAATATTTGCGTGGTTGCTGGCATTCAGCTGTTTCAGCAGCGAGATCTCCCGCAGAGTGGACATGGGCACTCCGTTGTCGTTCAGCGAGATCCTAACTTTCTTCAGCGCCACTATATTACCGGTGATCACATCTCGGGCTCTGTAAACCGTTCCATAAGCACCTGAAAAAAGTCATTGCAAAATTGGATCAAACTCGAAGAATGACCGAATCAAATGGTAATGCTAATCAGAAGCCAAAACAGAGACACAAAAAAAAACCCCAAAAGCAAGGCCAGATAAGAGCACGCGAAACTGCCGAAAATTCGCATAAGGTACAAAATAAAAATATAAGGCAACAAAGTCAGCTGTGCTGATAAGATGGGCGAGAAATGCCGGCTGATTGGCCATATCTGGAAACTATTCCTATTGCAGAAAAGAGGCACTCACGGAGAGAAATTACCCCGCACTGATCATTGATTTGGCAGTAGTTCCACTTATCTCTGACATATGTATCTTTGTGGTATTTTTATACATTTTTTCGCATACCGAACGATTGAACTGATATATTATGTTCTGTATATTAAAACACGCATGGGAGCAAAGCAAAAAAGAAATATTATTTATAAAAAAATATAGTTTCTAAAGTCTTTCTTCTTAAATATTACTTATTGAGATTAATCATTTAAGTTGATCTCATAATACAAAAATCTAAATGGTTTTTAATACATGAAAGCCCATATATATTGATTGATGTCAGGTAGAAATGATATTACCCATGTGCACAAGCGGAGAAATGCGAAAAGAGAGTGCGAAGGGGCGAAAGAGTCCCAATCAGAATCAAATACCAGAGACAAAATGTTGTCACCGGAAATTTATCACCCGTACGGACAAACGAACGGACGGGGACTTGCGTGGGGGCGGGAGCAACGAGACATCGGCTATTTCGGTTGGCATTGACAGACACTCTGTACCATACGTATACCCAATACCCCGGGCCAAATGGAACTGGGGGGAGGTGGATGGTTTTGGGGGTCTCTAGACCACCTGGCTTGTGAACTGTGCCGCTGTTTCGACAGTCGAGCACAAGGCCGAGAGCTCGACTCCGACTCGTTATGGACGTCGGCTACTGGGCTCTCGATTTGAAATTGTCAAAAAATAAACTCGAAAATTGCGCACAGACCAGTGAAAAAACAACAATGAAAGGTTGGAGCGAAAGCGAATGGCAAGGGGCAATAATTGAATGAACGCGAACAGAGAAGCAGACAGACGAAAATGTAAGTGTGTGCCGTATAACAGATGAAATTCAGGGGGTTACGACGAGGGGAAGGGCCCATGGATGGTTTACCTTCCGGCTTTAGGTCCCCTTCCCCTAAACCCCTCACTGTCCCAACAAGCAGAAATAATATCCATCATTACCATTTGCCTCTTCACAGCTCGGTGACGTAATTGATTTGGGCTTTATTAACAAAAATAAAAACCGATTCGTAATTGTTACCCCAAAAAGACCATGAACCACTTGTCAGAGCATCGAACTGGGCTCGAAATTGTTTTCGGAATACTATTGGTAACACGTGGCCCACTGCAATGGACCTGAAAGTATGCAGAGAAAATTTCTCGAGACCCAAGAAGGGGAAGTTTTGATGGTGTGGCTTTACCTAGCCAATATTTCCCCTTTTCCCATATTTTCCATGCCTAATTAGTCGTGGTTATAAAAAGTTTGGCTAAGTGCACTCCGAGAATGCGCTACATTGTCGGTCACAACCGGTTTTTGCATCTATAAATTAGGTTTATTTAGAAACCCACATTCCATGTAAGCTCATTTATCCACAAATAAAAAAAACGTTAGGATGCCTTAAGTAAACAATAGAGCTACTAAAAAGCTTGAAGTAAAGTCAAGAACGAGCTGTAAAACCAAATAGCCAAGAGTTTGTAAACAAATTAAAGTAAATCGTTAATAATCCGCACATTTCCGTTGAGCAACCATAAATAAACAGAAACCACTTTGTAGCGCCGACCTATCCCAACAACAAAATCCCAGATCCGCTCACCTGTGCCAATGATGTTCAGCTCCTGGTAATTAAATATGTCTCCATCGCCGAACTTTTTCCCCTGGGACATTTTCTGTCGCTTGAGCTGCGGTGACAGTGACATGTAGCTGGATTTCTGTAGGTATTTCTCGGAATGGACTGATATTACGGGGACTGGGCACTGATCACACGACGTAGGGGTCACTAATTACTGCACCAACTGTAAGTAGAGAGAGGTGGTGTTATCGATCTGTGTTTGGTTATCGATGTATCCTTTTGCCGCCCACGATAGTTCACACAGAGAGAGAGAGGGAGAGAGAGACAGACTGCCCGATTTTGTACCTGCTGCTCTTCTAGATAACCCCAAAACTCGCGATAAAGACTGGTGTGACAGGTGCTAATGGGCCCGAAAAAGAAGTGGAAGTCTGGCCACGGCTATATGCTCTGCTATGCTTTTTCTATCTTCGAGAACCCGCACACATGGAGACGTAGAAGCCGGCGGTCGTTGAACCCGGTTAATGTTTTCGTTTATTTGTACTTTAGTTTTATGTCTAACCGATCGCAGAGGGCGAGAGCGATCGCACTAACTTAGTTATGATTTATTCATGTTCTTTTCGGTCTTCCCCTGTCTTTCGTGCTGCTCGTCGCCGTCTCCCTTTTGTGGCTTCTTTCGTGCGTCCTGTTACTTTTTTCACAGCTCACGAGACGATACTCGAATGTTAAGATCGATGTATGATCTATTATAATACTTTATTGTTCAAATAAAATATCATTTTCTCGCCGTGCACATTTCTGCCCGTAAGTATTAACGCCGAAAAAGAACCCGAATAGTTTGTTGTTGCCGTTTGTCAATTAATTCTAATCGCGAGACAACGAAACAACAATAACAAGTAACGCAACAAAAAGCACAAAAGTTATGGCAAGAGAGTGGGTAGCTTTCGAGGAAAAGAATTATGAGGTGTATAAATCTGAAATAGTTATTGTTGCACTAGTTTCTCGCCCTCGCTCCTCCTGTTTCACTGATAAGACCACTTTTCGCTTCACTTTACATTTTTTTCCGGTGTATCTCAATGCCAATGCTGCCGTTTTTTCGGCCTTTGTGCGAAATATTAGTTAAATATTAAAAAATGTGTTTTTTATTTGCCGGAGACTCGCACACACACACACGCTGCTAAGTGATCTTCACACACACAGGCTGGCACGCACACAGGCACAGATATATATGTATACATATACGGTTTTATTCGCCTTGACGAAATTTTGGCATTTGTTGATAATCCAGCAAGAACCTCACGATCAGAGCAACGCGACACGAATTTGGATGCGAACACGGTCGGTGGCGCGGCAGCAGCACTTTAATTAAGTTTTTAAAACAGCGATTTATAAATTTTTAACAATATTTGTAAGACTGAGTGTTTTGGTAGCTCTGAATGCTCTGAAACAGTTTTACGATATTCGTGGTAACAGTGGATTCTCTTCGCCCGTGTTGGCTAACAGCCGGTGGCTAACAGTCTGTTGGGGCCGGCAAAACGGGTAACCGTTAATTTCGAAATTGTTATCAGTGACTGTAAAGGGATGAACCATTTTTGCCATATTCTTTGTTTTTTTTCAGTGCGACTAATGTTTGAAAAATGTTTTTAGGTTCCTGGAATAGTCAAGTGGGATATTATATTTCATAATATATAGTTGTTAAATTTTGAATATACTCTTAATAAAAAAATATTTAACATAGTTGCGAAATTAAATTGGTAGACAAGAATATAAGATAAGAAATGAATTTAAAAATAAGCATTTAGATGCTATGAAAAGTTAAAATTCATCAGGATGCTGGGGAAATACATTGCTTGTACATATAATTTTAAAAATAGATTAAATTGACATAAATATGTTATTATTTCTTATCCGTCTCCTAAATATGTTATAAGCTTTTCACACAATAGCAGAAATCTAATATTATTCCGCCGTCAAAAGTGTTTAAATTATCTAGAGTGAAATGTTTAAAAACTGCCACTCAAAACTGCTCGAAAGTCACTAACTGGATGTATAATTTATTGACATGAGTTGGAGTGGCGTCGAAAGCTTTCACTCAAGCGTGTTTGAGTGAAAGCTTGTCAATCATTTTCCAACGATCCGGCAAGGCCAACACTTTCGAAGTCGAATAAAGCTCGTTCAGTTGGGCGCTAAGATTTGAAAACAATGTTGCAAAAACCTTAAAAAGTAAACATTCCCATTTAACACCCTTAATCATGTTACTAATTAGGCGAAAATCGGCGAAAATTTCCATGATCTTTGCCCGAGAGCAAAACAAATTAGGGCCCAAATCAAATTAGAGCTCGGTGGTGGAAAGCGAGTGACGAAGTCGCAGAAGTGTTAATTACCGCCAGGGTGTATCAGTTGCCAAAAGTCCACAAATGACGTGCCCCGCTGAAGTACAAAATGGAAGGGCAAACACGGCGAGTGATCAGGATGAATGATCATTAATGGGAGATGGAAATATAGTTTCTGCGACCGCCGGAACGTGCCCCTTTCTCACCTTTCGGGCGCCAGCCGACACTGTGATTCATTCCGGCCGCAAAGCGCATCCGATCTTGGCCAATTAGCACCTTGGTGAGTCGCACTCCTCCGCGGAAGTCAACGCCCAGCAACGGACATATCTGTCCATTTAGAACACCTGCATTTCCGACTAAACCCCATAAGAATAGTGAGTCACCTACTATACATAGATAACACTTTCAATCGAGATCAGGCCTGATCCATTGACTTTGCTTTGTAGGTTCGTGAATGAATAATGTTAACATATTCATGATTTCTGCGAATCAAGTTCATCTTGTTAATTAGAGAGTTCCGATTTTGACAAGCTGGCGTTGAGGAAGTTATTATCAGGCAAGGGAAAGGCTTACTCAGAAGCCAACATGCCACTCGGTTTGTAAACAAGGCAAAACACGAGAGTAATGCCACTGAAAATGGGATCCGGTCGCATCTGGGCATTACCGAATAGACGCAAGTCCCTGATAAGCATTTTTATTTCGCTTCTCGCTCTCTGACATTTTGTCGGCCTGTGACGACGGCGCTTATCGAAGACCATTAGTCTTATTGCGTTTCAAACCGGCTCCGAGCCAAGAAACTAATTAAACGAAATTTATTGAACAAATATTATGGGCAAAATGGTTTTGTTCTGGCCACAAATACGCAAGAAAATGCCAAACAGAATGGCAGAAGCAAACAAACAAAGACGCCAGTGAGGGTCTACGCCAAGTTCTGGGCTCTGAGCCTGTTTTTCGGGGGTGTTGACGGGCAATTTGGCTAAATTGGCTAAATGTTAGCCAAGTGAATAAATCAGCCTGCACTCTGCGAGGCAACCGGTTGGCCATTGACACGGCCAAGACGGGTCTTGAACATAAGAGCCACAACAGCTCGGAAACCAACGTCACTGGCTCTTCGGACTGAAGAATTCAATCCAATCGGAATCCAAAACCGAAGCCAAACCCATTCTCGATACGATCCGAGATCTGCTACTGATCACGTGCGGCAAGGGGGGTTTATCTCTGGCTGGGCGATCGATCCAGTCGAGCGTGGCTCATTACCATCGGCAGCAACAAGAACACTCGACCTTGGGAGTACGATCTCCCTGAAGCATGAAAGCCAAGCTCAAGTGCCTCGCTGGGTTGACAGTTTTCCAAGCAGCCAAACATGCGTCACCAAACAACAATTTGCATAACTTAGGCATAACGATCTCCAAGTTGGATCCGATGCTAAGACCTCTGTGGGAGATCTCTCGCAGCTTTACGACTCCCCTTTGGCTTCCGTGTCGTGTCTGTGTTGCGGCAGATCCACTTCCACTTTCAGTTCCTCATCCTGGGGCTCAGAGTGCTGATCGGATCTCCGGGGATTAGTGTCTCTTTTGATTAGTAAGTGCGTCATGGAAAAAGTTTAATTAATTCCCGCCGAAGATCGAAGATCGGTTAATGCCAAGCGCAAACAAACACGGTATGTGTGACGCATATATATGATATATGATATGTGATACATGGTAAATGATACCGATTTGATATGATACCCCTGGGAAGCGGCCCCAGAAGCGCTAATTACGTGACCAGCTGGATGGGCCAAACTGCAGCGCAGCCAGCCATTTGGCAATTTGGCCCAGGCACTGGACCCTCGATTTTGGGGGGCGGGGGTTACGTGCGCCGCGATATCGGCAATACTTAGCGAAACCCAGGTCGAAACCTGTTCGGCATACGAAAGCGTCGCGCAGCCCGTATAAAAGTGAATTGTGACAAAAATTCTGAACAGTTGAAGCGCACGCTCAGCGGCGACAGCATCGAGAATAAGTCACAAAAGCATAATCCCAGCCCGGGGGCCAACAAGGTGTTAAGCGATCACTGATAACGCCCAGCTTATAGAAACGCAGTCTCCGAATTTACGATCGATCATAACGGTTTCGACATTCCGCGAGTGCGCACACCCCACAAATTGATCTTTTATCTCCGATCTTAAATCGGAATCGGAACAAGTGACAAAGTGCCTCAACCAGACCCCAAACAGGATACTCCACCTATAAATAAAAATCGACAGAGGGCTATTAAACGGTACCCATATACCAGCAGCCATCAAAGATGTTTGCATACACTTGGCAAGTGAGTATTCTCGAGATCGGCGTCGGTGTTTGAAATTTATGAGCAAAACACAGGCCAACAAAGAAACGTGTTTCGGCGATTAACATTTTCGACCAAATTCACAAATTAAGGCTGCAAACGGACAGCGTACTCTGATTTTTTCGCCGCCGGACAAGGCCGAACGCATTATCGAATCACCGAATCAAGTTATTCTATTTCTATTCCTACTCCCATTCGATCTTGTGATCTTGATGAGGAAGTGTCATAAAGTCGCTTTATGGCGCGGCTTTGCACTTGATCTCCGGCTTATCCGACCATCCATCCTGCTGGGAGCCTTGATACCGTTTACAAAGTCGAGCTCTTAACCCTGAACCACTGAGCCCAACCGGTTGCAGTCCCAATCTCAGTCTCAATCTTCTCCTTTTGCCCACTGCTGATTGAAATTAATTTGTTTTGTCTGCGGTTAAGGTTTTACATAATTCGAAACCGACAAAAAAGTACCATCACTGCGTTTAGCGGGTCAATCATAGGGGTTTCCAGGAATAGTTTCGAAAGTTAGCCAATGGGCAGCATAAATTAGAGAGGGGTGCATCCGGTTAGATGGCGCCTGGGGATCAGCTGGGTTCTGTGATCATGCCAGAAGACGCCTACCGAATTCGAGACGTGCTCATGAATATTTTACGTGCGACTATAAATTAGATTTGATTGCGGTTATATCATTGACTTGGCCCGATCCCCCTCGGCCAGTTGGCTAATTTAAATTAATTTTTGTATGCTAATTCGCAGCATAAGCGCTAAGAGCAGACAGGTTCTGGTTCTCTGGCACCGCTTGGTTCTGCCACTGGCCTCCAACAGCTATTCACACCTTCCAAAGTCCCCGGCTGACCTGGCTTTCTTTCCTTGTTCCTTTCAGATCTCCCCTGTGATCCTGGCCATCCTGGCAGCGATGTCGATGGCAGCCCCCCAGCTGCAGGAGGCCCCCCACGCCCTGCTGGACATCGAAGCACCCAACCAGTTCAGCTACAGCTCCCCCTTGGCCCAGCCGGACAGCCTGCGCTCCAAGCCGTACTTCGACTTCCTGAGCACCCTCTACGCCCACGACACGGCCAAGTCGAACCTT